GCTCGCAGAGCACAGAGTATTAAGTTAAAAGTTCACTGTTCTTTTGCTATTGCTTTGCCTCGTCTGTTCCTGTTTGGCTGTGACGCCATCCTGGAGAGAAATATCAGCTGTGCTGCTTCCATCAACACCCTTGTTTATAGATGCTGGATATTGGCCTGTTTTCCAGTGTGGTCCTGTTTCTCTGACCGCGACTGGCTGGATGTGCTCTCTTCATCCTCTGACATGGGAGTTGGCTTGGTGCTCGTCTGCCTGTCTGCATGTTTCCTGGATGGGTTGCTTTTTGTGTCTCTGCTTCTGTCTCCTTGAACGCAGTCGGCCTCGGCAGATGGCCGCTCACACTGAGCCTGGTTCTGCTGGAGGTTTCTTCCTGTTAAAAGGGAGTTTTTCCTCTCCACTGTTACTACAAGTATGCTTAGTGTGTATGATCTGGTGAACTGTAAAGTGCCTTGACATGACGTGTTGTGAATTGGCACTATATAAATAAACTGAATTGAATCTATTTTCTGAAGAACCTTTGTAATTCCTTTATACATGAGCATGCCCATGCATTGTACCACAAGTTTGGTTCCAGGTGTTCACGAATACACTTTAATACTGAAAAATGAGCTGAAGCTACAGATATATACCCCCCCGAATAGTATTGTATGATAACCTTCTGTTTTGCCTTCCACACACATGGATTTCTAATTTATACTTTCTGCTCTGGAAGGTTTTTTTGAGATATACTTTGGTTGTCTGTTTTTGTCTTTTTACTGCTGTTACCTTTTTTCTGTTCATCTTGTCTCATACAGGTGTGGAAGCAGATTTCTAAGAGTTACTGTCTCGTATCTTGTCTATTTTCGCTATTTTGTTTTATATTCTCTCTTTTCATGTGGTTTCCTGTCTCTATCTCTTTACGCTTATCCCTTTCTTTTCTGTCTCTGTGTATACGATTTCACTCACTAAATAATTTTCAATAAAGCTCCTTATACAAGTACATGGCAACAGTCATGATTGTCTGCATGTAAAAGCTAAGCTTCAATGGCAAAACAGGACATGCAAATAAAAGGCACAGGGAGGAGGAGTTGCACTGGTTTGGAGTGTCAAGGTCCGTGCGGACTATGACTCATCAGTTGAGAGAAGTATAAGCAACAAGGAGATGTGTAATATACAGATATCATACTTAATTTTTTCCCCTACTGATTCAATGTTGTTGAAAGAGAGGCCCTTGGAAATGTAGCAGTTTAAAGGTAGGTCTGGGCCAGTGATCACAAGCAACTACAATACATTGCCTCTTTTTTTTTTTTTTTTGTCAGCAAGGTGGAGTTACAAACACCATCTTTGTAAGGAACACAAAACTATTAAATATCACTTCCAAAAGTTAAGTAAAGTTGAAGCAAGTTTCAAATGCTATATAAGTTCTGTTTGAGTTGTGAAATAAAAAACCCTTTACTGATATTTTATCTCTGTAGTTACTGCAAATGTTCAAGGTCAGAATTTATCACAATATAGATTATTGGACTAGTGCCTAAACCCCCAGTTTGTCTTAAATAGGCCTCCCTTTACAGTAGACCCTATGAACCAACATTCTCCTGGTTTGCGGACAAACTGAAAACATCCATTGGTTCATTTGCTTGCTCCCTTGAAGCCCCAAGGCAAACTGTTTTTAAAGTTAAGCCCGATAGGTAAATCTTTTTCTAATTTGCTAGAAGTCAAATGTTTTTCCGAAATGCAGAATTACGATAGGCGTGACAGTTTTCTTTAGATCTTAAATATGCACTTCCCTCCTCTGACATGAGGATGAAGCTATGGCAAGAATGGCAAGAAGGTGCAACTCAAATAATCTGAACAGGTAATCATTCCATATAAAGTCTTTAATCCTTCTAATAATTAGAGAATGTCAACAGTTTTGTTTGTTTCTTTATTGGAATCAGCTGGGTTTCAGGTCTCTAATTGAATTAATTTTTGATTTTACTTTTTTAACATTTACAAAATAATAGATTTGGATCAAATATAATAAATTCAAAACTTACCTAATTCCCAGCATATTTCATAAATTTGAAGGTTATTGCTGCAATATTCTTTCTACAAGTGAATTGTCCATGTTGTATTGATACTTTGTTTATGATTCAGTCATTAGTACCAACGTACATTCAGCTTACTTTGGTCAGAGTCACAAATCTTGTTCACCTAATGTTTTAAAACGATATTACAATAAAAAAAAAATGTATATTTGATTTCACAAACTCAAAGCCTATTTTTCAAAACAGGGTTTTGGAAATGAAGCACAACCTATTTGGACCACTGATTCTCCTCCTCCTTTATACCAATGCTGCTTTTTGCCTGGGATCCGTGGTAAAAAAAGATTATAAATACCATTCATCTCCCCATTCGTGGGAGGATGCTCGCAGGTTCTGTAGTGGGTAAGGTTTCCTTCCTTAATGTTTAGGTATATTTATATTGCACTGGAGTTTGTGGCATATAAAAATGAGAAATACATGGTACAAACAGTGTCTTTGTAATAAAGGCAAATATATAAATGACAAATTGGTAAGAAGTGCGGCTCATCATGAAATAATTTCAAAAGTGCTATGTGCATTACATAATTCTATTGAACAATTTTGTTTTCTTTAAAAATGTGAATGATTATTTGTTCATGTTAACTAAGATTCTGTGTACTGTATCTGCTAAATCCAATCTCTAATTCTTTCATATGCTCCCTCATGACTGTTCATATTTCTGACATCTCAGTATGACATATTCTATTGATTTCTCCACTTCACAATTATCACAATTACCTGTAACATGCTTTCGTCTTTTAACAGTGTAGAATTGTCCTGTATGCCCAAATCTTTATCTCGCAATCAATCTATTCTACTTTCTAATCCTTCTTCCAGTTCTTATTTCTCCTGCTTTCTTTTTGATTCTATAAAACCGTCTTTCTCCATCTCACCTTTTTTTGTGACTCTTTTTCCAACTTTTGTTTAATTTTATATATATATATAATGTGTGTGTTTGTGTGGGTGTGTACCAGCAACAGTTCCCATCAGTTTAACCCATTTCTCATCCAAAAGGATGCCATAATTAACAGCCCAAAACATTTTATCTTTGACTAAAATGTTTCTTCTGTCACCATTTTTTTTTCTTTTTTTTTTTTTTTTTTTACAAATGCTCTGAATTTGTTTAGCCTCTTTTTTTGTTGTTGTTTAGTTTTACATCACACCATTAAATTTGCATCTCCCTGCACCTTTACCATTTCTACATCTCTTCATCATCTCTTCATTTCAATATTACTTAACGATCTTCTCTTTGAATTTTTCTCTTTACTACTGTTGTGGCTAAACAAAGACAGACAGTTGGAAGCAACACATAATGTTATAAAATATTCCCTGAGAAAGTCTAGCTTGTTTTTAGAACCAGTCTTTTTATCCCAAACACTCCCGAATAGGATAAACAACCCATCACCCTTAGACACCTTTTAGCCTTGCAGCAGTGGTGCCTGAATGAATGTGACTCAGCACTCATAAATCAATATATGTAAACAGGAATTAATAGCAGATAGAATTTTTTTCCTACCATACTTCTCTCTCTTCCTCTGAACTATATTCATCCAGTTCCATTTTTTTCCCCTCTGACTGTCATTCAATCTCCTTTCCACCTTAACTCTACCCTGTCCTCTTCCACTAGCTATTCATGTCCACTCATGAAAATCTATATCTTCCTAATTTTTATCTTTTTCTGAAAAATTCACATACCAGTTTATGCCAGTTTCACCTGGAACCAAATGAAAAATGTACTGGTGTAGTTTTGAAAACCATGCCAAAAGGCCACCAAACCTTGATGGGTAGCGTCCCCTCCCACCTTGCCATCCACGAGCTTGAGCTGTTATTTTTCCTTTACTCCTTAAAGAGGCATTACAGAGGTTTCTGATACTGCCACCTGTGGCCAAAACACTGCACTGCAGCACTCTTCTGTTCGTTCTCGTAGCACATGCTCTTACCTACGAAGGTTCTTTTTTTACTTTTTTCACCTTACCTGGAGTTTTCATTGGTGTCTCAGATGAGATGGATTCCGGTTACTTCTTAGCATCCAATAATAAATCTATGTTGAATATAACGCTTCGATAGTTTGCCAGATTGGACACATTTAACATGGACGCGCTTGACTTCACATTCACCAAAAAGCGCAGGAACTTCCGGCCCGAAGTAAATTCTTATAGATGCAGCACTAAACATCTGCTCATCAAAAAATGTTTTAGTTGTAAAGTGTCACATAAAAAGACTATTTTTAAAGATATTTATGTATTTCAGCTCAGGTCAATTTATTTCACCTGTGAAGTGGATAAAACCCAATATCCAACTTTCCTGTATGATCTTATTTATAACTTTTTATCCCCTAAACTTCGAGTAGCTGTTAACAGGCATGAGAAGTTTTAACTTAAACATTTACTGTAGTATATGTTTACAAAAAATGTGTTGAAGAAAAACTTACACATGAATATGTATTGTAGGATTAGGATTCACTCTGTGATAATGACCCATTGAGCCTACTGACACAATCTGAAGCCATTCAATAGGACTGATAACTATTAATTACCACCATTTATTGGGATGATAACATCCAAAAGGGGCTGCAAACAGCCACTTAGTATTTACTATGTAAAAGAACACAGAATCAACATGATGAAGAACCCTATAAACGATGAACAGGTTCCATTTATTAGAATAATGTTTTTAGACTTCATCTTCACCTCCTGACAGATGATTTCACCTAAGAAATAGACAGATAAAATAAACTCATAATGTTAACATGGTCACAACAGGCTATGGCAAGCCATCTAGATATGTAGGCTATTAGTTTTACTGAATATGTATTCCTGATATTTGAAGAAACTTTTTTCCTTGTCAAAATGACCATTTCAACCAAAATTAAATTTTTCAGATCTAGAATAAACACTCTGGATGTGAAGAAATTGACTTCCGATCTCAAAATTCCAATAAATAAAAAAAGAAATGTAACTTTATTGATCTTACACTGAAGAAATGTATCTCTGCATTTAACCCATGCCTTTGGGGAGCAGTGGGCTGCCATTGTGCAGCACCCAGGGAGCAGTGTGGGGTTAAGGGTCTTGCTCAGCAACCTATAGTGGAGGCTGAACCAGGTACTTGCAACCTTCTTAGAGCCTAAGCACACTGCTATAACGCACTCTCATAAATACATATTCAGTCAAGCTGATAAATGTTAAAGTGGCCACTTAAAATGTGTTAACACAATATATAAAAACGTAATTCTTACTTGTATAATTTTTTATTTTTTATTTTCTGAAGTTCAGTTTCTGTTGCAAAAATGTAGTTAAGATAATATATTATTAAAGTTCGGTTTGGGAGTGTTATTTTCAACAGTAAGATCCTTATTTAAGTGATCTACAAATGGAACCACAGAGAGGAGATTGCTTATGATAAATGTAAAAATGGCTGACCAGAGCCATATTAACTCGGGCACTCTATTTTGTAGCTGTAGAGCTGTTTGTCTGTTTTTTCTTTTAATTTCATTGTTAAAATTTATAGTTCTAGTGTGGTGAAATAGGCACTTCCTGTTCCCTGTTGTCATGGTGACTCGTCGAATCAGTGCGTCATAATGGCTTTTCATATTTGTTGCACATATGCTCAACTCTGAGTGATTCTACTTAGAGTTGATTGAACTAATTCTTAGCAGCTGTTGAAAACCGAAAACTCAAAAGTCCCGAACCTAAGCCAAAACAAACCGAAGTTGGTAAAACCGCCTCCTGAAAAAAAAAAAAATAAGTGGTTTTTTTATGCACAAAACCACAACAAAAATCTTACTAAATCAGGAAATAAAACAGTGTGATTGGCTGTAAGGAGAGCGCAGACAGAGAAGACTGAACAAAGCCTGCTATTGATAAGGTTAGCTCTTTGGTGAACGTTACTATGGTGACTGAAACAGAGGTTGAGCTAACTCTCTTTGTGAAACGGGAAGCTCAGAGTTTCCGTAATTCAGGTTTAGAAAACGAAGAGTTTTCATGTGACTTGCTTCTTGAAATGGACCCCTAGTGACTGACTAGCTTTTTATGGTTTTCACAAAACTACATCAGCACCCTCCTAATTAACTCAGGTAATTAAATTGTGTGATAAATTTTAAGGAGGGTATAGAGAATACTTTGTGTTTAAGGAGGAAAACCTTCTCCAAACCTGATTAGCTTTAGAGAGAAAGTTACTAGGGTAACAGAGGTTGAGGAAACTCCCTTTGTGAAATGAAGAACTCCCTGATGATTTCAGGGCTAGAAAACGTAGAGGTTTTGGTAAACCTGCTTTGTGAAACAATCCTCTAAATTAATACTTTGGGGTTTGTTTGGAAAGTATTTCATAAATTATCACATCTTAAATATGCGATTTTGAAAAAGTCATTGAGAGACACCAACCACATATTAAAATGTGATTCAATTAAAATATTTATCTTGAATTCAACATATTCCTCCAGTTGTCAGTTTTAAATCCACTGTGTTGCTCCAACCCTAACTTCAAAACCATCTGCTCCAAAAAACATATAAAAACATAGCCACACATAATTTAAATTTTTGGTATGCACTTAATTTTACAAACTAAATTCATCAACTTGCACACATTCTGGTATTTGACTTTCTAATTACTATTGAATGTTTGTTGTGTTTTTATTTCTTTTTTCTGTCCTAACAGAAAATTCACGGACCTGGCCACCATCTATACACACTCGGACGTGAATAATCTGGACATCCATTATGACTTCTGGATTGGTCTAAAGAGAAGAGGCCCACAAAGCAATGAATGGGTCTGGTCCAATGGTCTGGAAAACAATGTTAATAACTTGCTACATAACAAGGAAAATGCGACTGGAGACTGTGCCATGGTCAAATACAATGAACAAAATAGGTAATGCAACACCACTCTTTACATCAATGTTTTTACTCATCATATATTAAAAAACAAAATCCCTCTACTAATGAATTTTGATTAGAATGCTGCATTATTTATCAAAAAACAAATCAAAAGACTTGAGCAGAAAGAGAGTGGAATCTTTGACCATTCTGCTGTGCACTGCTTAGATGGTTTCTAGATATGAAAGTTTGTTGCATTCTCAGAAACAAAAGGAAATTAGACTCAGGTACAAGATCCAGATCTTGTAATTATGACTTATGATCTCTTAATCATCAAGATAAAATGTCATAATCATGAGATCAGAATTTCATAATTATGAGTCAAGAGCTCAAAATTATGAGATGTGAGATGGAGGAACAGACAGACATCATATGGCGAAAGCGAGTGCCCTATTGGATTTAATATGTTTTGATTTCCTCTTAGGTTTGAGGCACTGGGAAATACAGAGTTTACTTCATATGGTTATGTCAACATTTCACAGGTTTCTTAAGTCCTTGGGTTTGTTTTGGTAAAAAACAACTCACTCTGATCTACTGGTAGTTGCTCTCTTCCTTGAGAAGCAAGTAAAACAGTGCATGATACTACATGGCCACAGGTTGATAAATCTGAAATGCACCCAGGCTGACTTGATGATGATTCTAAAAACTCTCTGGTAACTGCTCCAAATCCTAGATCCTCAAGGAGTGTGGCTAAGGCTTCAGAAATGTCTAAGATGATGTCTAACTGTTACTACATATCGGACCTTGATGACCTTTGGTGACCGGCAACTTGGGTTGTCCTACTATAACCCTGAAGTGAAATCAGTGACTGGAAAAAGACAGTTTCTTAGAATTATAAAAATCAGAAAAAAGTGACCAAATATAGAGAACATGGTAACTTAAATAATAAAAACCCAAATAATAACTTTCCCATATATCCATAATCACTTAATGAAATAAGAAATCATTATTAGACCAGAGGGATATAAATGATGAATGACCTCAATTTATAAACTTTAAACTTGTTGCTTTAATTGTGAAAAGTCAGAGCCACCATTGCTACCTTTTTTAGATTAGATTAGATGAGCTTTATTGATCTCACAGCGGAGAAATTCACTGGTCACATATTGGCATAGTAACTAAAGAAGGTGCAAACAAGGAGGAAAAAGGTGCATTAAGAATAAACAATATATATATATATACAGTATATCAAGATAAATAAGGATTAAGGTGCAAGTGTACATGTACCACACACAATGAAAAACGAAATAAAAATAATAAAAATTAAAAAAATACAAGGGAGTAACACAGAGATTTGAGGTGTCATATGTACAATCAGGATGGCTTATACACAGGTGGATTGACTTTTACATTAAAGTATCATGGTGTATGCGTGACTTACTGTATAAAAACCTAGCGAGAAGTGGCTTTACGGACGCTCTCGAAGTGGAACCAGACTTGACTTCAGTTAAACGATCCTGTTCTCATAATTATGGCATCCTATCAAATGATTATGAGATCTTAAATCATAATTATAAGATCCTGATCTCGTAATAATGAGATACCTTTGTCTAGTTTTATTTTGTTTGATGAATGTAATGAGCTTCCACACAAAGATATACATTAAATGGACAAAAAAGAACAAATAAATAAATGTAAACAACAATTAGAGTATGCAAAATGGGAGATAAATCTAGAATACATCTTAATTAGCTTCTTTTTATCACCTGTTTGTAATAACCTTTTCTTTTATTTTGACTTTTCAGTGTTTTTTTGTACACTTGAATATTTTTATCACCTTTATATTGTCCTTCCTTTTTTTACTCCATTTCCTCCACCCTATTCATTTCTGCCTGTTACTTACCAAACACAATGAAGGGCTTGTCTTAAGGGCACAGCTTTAGCCTATTTGTTGGTTTAGACTGCATAGAATCTGAATGCTACCATGTCAGCCACAGGCACAACAAAGTTCTCTACCTGAGGTTATTAGTAGGTTATGCTTAAGCATCTAGCAAGTTTATTTGAAAATAGAGCTGTGATTTCAATCTTTTTTTGTTATGTATATGCTCTGACAGAACTCTGACCCCCAAATGCCCCTCCAGAAGATTGAAATGTCACAGGACCAGACCACTTATGTATAGTAGTTAAGTGAAAAAAAGTGAAAGAAAAAGAAAAAAAAGAAACTCATGTACAAGTACACTAGCAGATACAACAATTTTGCTCAAATACAATTGCTGTGAATAAATCTTACAGAGACAAAAATTATCTAAGCAAAATGTAACTATGTAAAGGGTACATGAATATTTAATTTATTTTTTGTTAAGAAAATATCATCTGTTCTATTTTAGAAAGTAAAAACGCTGCTAGGAATCATGGTCAGAACTTGAGCAACTGATGTAATTTCAGAAAGATAGAGGAGGCCATTTTAACTGAAAGCAGCCATTATAGGGGCCAATAAGCAATAAGTGCTTCCATCTTTTGTTTAGGGCTTAAAGTACCTAAACCTACAATGTAATATGTTTTGATGTCCTGAATATTGCAAATAAGCAAAATACTATGTATACAGTGAGGAAAATAAGTATTTAAACAGCCTTTTGAACTGCAACTGTATTTTGTAAGTTCTCCCACTTAGAAATCATGGAGAGCTCTGAAATTGTCATCGTAGGTGCATGTGAGAGTCATAATCTGAAAAACAAAATCAGAACTCCTGATGTATGTTTTTTTTAAACTATTTATTTACTTGGTACAGTTGCAAACACACACGCGCGCGCACACACACACATACATATATATATATATATATATATATATATATATATATATATATANGACTGAAAATGGAAATCTATTATGTTTTCTTGAAAACATGTATACTTTGACCAGCAGTATACATCATGAGAGGAAGAATATATATTTCAATTAATCTAAGTCTTCTGTCTCTTTAAAGGATCTATATCCGAAATTGTAATGATCACAGGTTCTTCATGTGTCAAAAGTCCAACCAGTTGAGCCATCAGTTCATACCAGAGGCAAAGACTTGGGAAGAAGCCTGGCAGTACTGCAAGTCTGAATATTATAATCTGGCCAGCTTTACAAGCTCCTTTCTCAACGACTTTCTCACTGAGCAGGAATTTCCAATCTGGATTGGAATGCACAAAGATGGTAAATGATTACTGTTGAAACCAGACAAGTGCTTTAACAATCACATGTTGAACTAATTCACTAATGTCCTTTGCAAAGGTATGATCAACTCTATTAGTTTTTGTTTTGTGTTTTACATCTCACATTGAAACCATTTACTTATACATACATCTTTCCTTTTCATGACGCATTTTAAAGAATTGCATGATATTTAAAAACAAGCTTTTTGTAATGTTAAAAAAAAAAAAAAACATGCACAACACTGTTCCCCAAGAGAGGTGACGCCTATTAAACGCGCACAAGAGCATGCACAAGCCCATTTCTTCTTGTGTACACTGTTTAAAAGTTGCTGTCTGCATTGCTCATACAAGCTTACTTTCCAAAAGAAGATTTGCAATTTTTCCACTATGTAAGACTCACCACCAGTAAGTGAAAATGGGCACGAGCACGTAGGACAGTCTTACGTAAACATGTCACCAGAATGATTGACCATTAGGACCCCTTTTTTTTATGATCCACTCGGGTAAAGAACACCCTCCACTATACCTTACATTGGTTAGTTTTGAGGAGGGCACCCTACAGAGAGCATTGATATGCACCAAATGCTGTATGCTGACATGAAAACCATTTCATATGCCTGAAATTAGGCAAAAATTGGGTCAAAGGTTATGCAGTGTTGTTTTAAGATTGCTAAACTCTTGCATGCAATAAATGTTAACTTTTTTTGGCAGAACAATCATGGAGCTGGACCTCAGGAGTCTCTGAATATGATAGCTGGTCAACAGGAGAGCCGAGTACTGAGGGTGACTGTGGGTCTATCTCCTCGGTGACAAAGATGATGGCCCCCAAAAACTGTACTGCTCGTTTTCCCTTCCTCTGCATCCTAGACAGTGTGGTTCTGGTGAAAGAGAAAAAGAGCTGGGAGGAGGCACTGGAACACTGCAGAGGCCTCCGTTCAACCACAAACAAAGATTTCCGCTATGATTTCCTCAGCCTGCAGCCCAATGACCCACATGACTTTGTTTTGAACAAGGTCATGCAGGCTGATACTGAGGAGGTGGGTTCATTGATAAATAGAGAAGTTTATACATGGGCTAAGCCGAAGAGGGAGGTTTAAATCTTAAATCAGTTACTAAGATGATTGTTTTTCTGATTTGAATTTGCCATGTGCAGCCAATAAGTAGAGCACTAGTTTATTACAGACTCTTACATTGGAATTACCCTTATTTACATAAGGACCAAGGATGCAGGTAAGGGTTTGAGCTGTAACTTAAAAGACAATGCCAAAAATGCATCAAATGGGAGGGAAGTATGTTAATGTCATCAAAGTAACAGAAGGATAAACTCAATATATATAAAAAGGATAAACTCAATATATATAAAATTATTTCAGGATTTTTAAAAAATACTCGTACTCGTACTCGTCGTCTCCCGCTTTATCCGGAACCGGGTCGCGGGAAAAAAATAAATATAATAAAATAATGATCCTACTAAGCCTCACAAAAAAACAAAATAAAGAGGGGCCAACAGAGAGGGTAAGTTGCATCTCTCTAATCTCTTTATGAAAGAAGAAAGAAAAACTTTAGACTTCCCTGATCTCTCTCTGAGATCACCTTTTACTGCCTCAGCCAGCATATAAACCAACCCATGGCATTTATTGCTGTGTTTTTCTTTTCTTTAGACGTAGATCACATTATATGTTTTAATGTAGGCATATAAACAATCTCTATCAGATCTTGTTTGAGATGCTGCACAGACTGTCTTTGCTTTATAGAATGTATTATTGTTTTTTAATGACTTTTCATAATCTATCCAAGTCCAATGTGGGAAATTGTTTTAATATGCATATAGCACAGAGGAAGAAGTAAAAAAATCTGCACCCAGCCAAGTCTTAGCCCCTCTATACACAGTCAGAGTGACATGGGAAAAAAATCTGATCGGGGATCAAAATGTCGTATGCAAATGATGTGTTCCGGCCTTTATTCACAGTACAGTATTTTCTAATTAGAAAGGCAACATTTTGTTAAATCCCTGAACATTATTTTAGCCTGCATTAATACCTGACAATGTCAGGTTTAGGATTTTTACTCTGGGTTTATTTGTATCTACATATTTAATAAATTCCTGAATTTTATGTTTAGAAAGAGGAAAAAGGCACATTGGCAGGATTTGCTAAAAAAATACAAGAGTTCTCAATCCATCTTTATAGAAATTACTTTCCTTTTCATTGTAGTTACATGCATGCTAAGAATGTAGAAGTTGATAGATTCATTTTACAACATTATTACGGCTTAAAATAGAGCTGCAGCTGAGGCTTATCATTGGAAGTTTGGTTGTTTTTTTCCCCCCACAGGTTTGGGCTGGTCTGCGTTTCCTGGCTGGTGAATGGCTGTGGGTGAACGGAGCAGATATGTTGTACACAAACCTGCCCCGCTGCCCCACCCGTAGGCAACACTGTGGGATCTTATCCAAGAGCAGTGCTGGCAGCATGGAGGCCAGAGACTGTTCAGAAAGAAAAAACTTTCTTTGCTACAGTTATACACCGTAATGAGGCTACCATCAAAAGAATTGAATATTGCAACATATGACACTACAGTACATCTACATATATGTCATATTTAAAATGTTATCTTACACCAAAATAAACGCCGTTTAGAAAATTTGAAATATGAATTTTCTAATATTTAGAATCACTACATTATTGTTCTATTATAGTTTATAGAGATAAATGCTATCAATTTACGCTTGAAAAATATCTTTTTTAGTCAACCTTTTCCAGTTATTTGGATGTTGCTCAAATAATAGTTTCCTGTGTTTGTAAAATGGGTTTTTCAGTGATTATTTGACTATGAATCACCAAATTTTTGGATACATTTTTAAAGCAATCCCCAGGAAGAATTACAATACGAAGTAATGGATCAAAGATTTGTCCATACAGAAGATGAAGTAGATTGAAAGATCTCAAAGAGAAGACATTATACCCTGATCTAAAGCAACACCAGAAAAGATGAGAAACAATGTGTTTAGCATCAATCTGGGAAGAATTACAAAGTCATTGTGAAGGCTTTGGGAGAAACATTATTCACTTATGGAAAAGACATGGAACAGTGGTGAACCTTTCCCAGCGATGGCAATCTACTGAAAGGATTTCCAAAATTGTATCAGCTCATCATGGAAATGGAAAAAAGTAAAAAATCAATACTAATGATCTGCAGCCCTCATTGGCTTTGGATAATGTCAATTTCAAGATTTAAAAATACGAAATAAGCTGGACTGAAATTGGAAAGCTCAAACTGAAAAATAACTGTCCAGAAGAGAAAAAAACCCGGTTTAAAATTTGTTCCCAAAAAAACATCTTGACAATCCCTAGAGTTTGGGAGGTTGTTTGTACAGATGATGGAAATATTGGACTCTTTAAAAGTGTAGTGCATTTGAATATAGTGCAAACTAACAGAGTGTAGCAAAAGAAGACTTTACTGACAGTCAACAAGATGCTGTTATTGAGATTTTCTGCTTTGTGCCTTAAAAACTGTAACATTGTCAATGTCCTGAAAATAGCTTTATAAAGAGGTAATTTGGTTTGGATTATTTGCTTCTTAATAAATAAAATAATGAAACCCATTTTTGTATATGGAAATATCTTTTTGTTTTCTACTTGTTTAAAGATTTAGCAGAAAAAGCCTTTTCACCCATGTATAGAATAGAATAGAATAGAATAAAACAGAATAGAATAAAATTGAAAGTCCCTTGATTGTCCTCCAAAGGGGAAATTGTGGAGTTAAAGCAGCACAAGGTTAAAGCAGAAGTGGTCACACAATGTGGACCTTAGAAGTGTGTAAAATACCAGAATAACTAACAGATTTAAGAAAATATACAAAGAGGTACTGTATTGTATAGTTTTTTTTTAACAATATAAATGATCTGCTCCGGAGAGTAAATAATCAATAACAGCTGTGGACATTTTTACAGTAATGGATATGTGATAAATTGTAGCAACTATCAGAGATATGCACAATGAAAGCAGCATGTATTTAACTGACTGAGATAGAAACTGCGCAAAAGTCAGCATGAATGGGAACAGGTTGTTAAATTAGTGGGAGGTTTGGGAACACTATAATTTCTTTTCATTGAAGACCAGATTCTGAGATTAGCACACTGCCCACTAAAACCATTGTGGAACAAACATGCTTCAACTTATTCAGTCTAAATTTGCTTTAGTTGTAGTCAAGATGTGGATCTATAGAGTCTGAGGGTTCATCCAGAGTTTCAAATGGGGTTTCATGGTTTTTTGCAGTTTTTATTTTGGAAAAAATGTTGGCAAAGCTAAATATCTTTTCTTTTTTCTTTGTTTAATCTCCTATAAATCAGACATGGTGAAATTTAAAATAGTGGTTCCAGCTGAAAAATATTCCTCAATGCCTTTCTGTCATAAAAGTACAAACAACTATATTTCCGATTTATAGTTTGGGAGCTGTACTTGCTTAAAAACTCATATGTAATATCAGGCTGAATTTGCTCCTAAGACCATCTATTCTTAAGGGGTGAAGAGATAGAGGTAGTGATAAAGAATTATCCACTGTTCTTTATCATCCTAAAAATAAATTGAAAAGTGTTCTAATTTATGGTTGAACTCTAATCCAGGTTTCCAAAACCCCAAAACTAATACTTGGATAATTACTTTTTTGTATTGTAAACAGTTTTTTTTTTTCTTCACAGTGTTAGAGTCCTTGAGGCATAGATAAAATTGATCTATTTGAAAACATGGAAATCCAGACAAAAAGGCTGTTGAATGATATGTATTTTTGATTTTGGTTGCTTGTGTTTTGTTTATTTTGTTTTTTTAGGGGAGTATCTGATTTATTTGTCCTTTATTTCTATGCAGAAACAGATTACTTAAAATGAGATCATTCCAACGTACTTAGGGGATAAATAAACTCAACAAACTTACGACTACTATTAATACAATAAATGAGAAAAACAGTATCATACTGAAGTTTTAAGTCAATACAACCAAACCACAACAGTTTTCTTAAGTGTTAACAGACTAAGAGATTGTGTTTTTGCTTAATAAGCATTTAACACAATTCACATTAAACTGATTTTAACGTTAAACAGCTTGAGCTGTTATGTAATGTCTAAAACCTTAAAAACTTGAATAGGATACATTTTAATTTCACTGTGAAATTAAATGAACTTGCTCACGCATCAAATTAAGCAACCTTCTTTTATCCTTAATAAAATAAAAACATTTACCATTTCTTCAAATGATTTGGGCGTAAGTATTTATACTCCACAGCAATTTTTGAGGACTTCATGAATCTAATTTATTCTCTCCGAACCCGCCGGACCGCTGGCGAAAATTATAACGGTAACATTTTTACCAATATAGACATGTTAAACATTGTTGGAAAGCTTAGATTCTGCACAATTCAACCATCAAGTTCATTTTATGGACACAGCGAGCACAAAAGCACAAATAACACAGATATAGCAACATGTCAAAATGTAAAAATGACAAAGCAGCCACAACTACATACCTTTGAAGGCGTCCAGAAGCCGTTTTATAAATCAAAACTTCAATTGTTTATACTCCAATTGTTCATAAGGGTCCACAGATTAAAAGTAATCCAGTATATTCTTAATAAAAATATAAATATATTATGATGTACTTTAAAACCGGAAGTTTTTCAAATATATAGTTTTATGCATATTTTTTCATTTGATTCAGAATTTCTGGAAGTTAAATTAGAAATTGCTACTAACAAGAAAAGTTGTAAATCCTAAGTATGAAGTAAGTATAAATATCCTTGGTGGGACCCATAACAACTTATCTTGTAATGGGAGCTGGCCTGGAAAAAAGGCCAAGTTCAGTTTTCTTAGCCTAAAAAAATTACTTAGTGTAGGTAAACCTGTTATGATTCTGGCCTGTCTGCCTGCTCTGCTCTCCCTGTGAGCAATCAACTCCAGCTGCTGCCTGCTGAGCAATCAGCAGCATGTCTCTCAGCTGTGTTATAAGTTATGAGGCAGCCTGGGGCAGGCAGACAGGGCCAGATAATTGCAAGCCAACAAGCAAGCAGTATCCACTACTTCATGTTACCTGACCAAGTCTTCGCTTCACAGATTTTCCCTTTTGCCTAGCCCTCATCGGATTTCTCTGCCTTCTGGACAACGACCCTGTTTCTGCCCCTTGACTTCTGCCTCCTGCCAAGCCCCCTGATCACTAAACCTGAGTGTGGCTTCCAGGACCTAGATTCTGCCTATTGCTCCAAGCCACCCAACTATTGGCCACTAAACAACAGTTTAAAGTATCAGTCTGCTCTGTTCAAGCTGCTGATCTTGCTGAAGGGAGGACTCATAAGATCAGTAGTTTTGTTGGTTTCATGCTTTTCATTATTTGAACTCCTTCAAGCCACTAACCTAAATCTCCCTTCTCAGTAATCCCTGGTGGGGATTACTGAGAATCCCCACATCCACCTCCTCGGTGGATGTGCTCCTGAAGTCCTGAGTTTTGAATAAACTGTTTAAAGTCCTTATTCTGTGTTCTGGCTGAAAATTTGGATCTTCTGTCTGGATCATTACAACACCTTAGTTTGCATATTGTTTTCTCTGGGAAAACGATTTCACCTTTTCACCCTGTTCAAATGGCAACTCATCTAAGCAAATAATCACTTCCAAAAAAGGAACTCAAAGCAACAAGACCTCTAGTCTGAGCTTGGCGGCTCATCCGGCAGCTGACAAGAAAACACTTTACTAAAGGGATAAATTATCAAAACAGGTAATTACACCAATAACACAATTTTGTACTTAAAAAAAAATGTCAGTATTTTTTTCCTCTGCGTGTTTAAGCTCTGTTTGAAAATAACTTAATTCAAAAGACGTGTTTCTGTTCCCGCTGCTTTGTACAGTTTTTCCATTCCTAAATAATAATCTTTAGGTTTTTGTTTTTTGAAAACATGTACATACATGCTTTGTACATTTTTTTAAAATCACCCTCTCTTAAACAATACTATTTTGAGCCTAATAGATTTCATGTAATTGTACATGACTTTTATTTATGTTTGTTTTTGTAATTTGCTACAATTATCTATCGAGCTAATTTTTGGTTCAGTGTTTTTTTTTATTTTTTATTTTTTATGCCGTACGTGAATCAATTTGTATTTGATATTAATGATTGATTGATGTCACATCTATATATCCCCTATCATAATACAGTATAGTCCTATAATCTGTCCATATTCTAATTTTTGAGATGATGAAAGCCCTTTCCGGAGTGTGGATTCTCCTCCTCCTCAGCAGCGGCAATGTATCTGGCCTTAATTCAGTGTTGGTGAGAGATCATAAATACATCAACTATCCAGCCAGCTGGGAGAATGCACGACACACATGCAAACGGTGAGCATTCTTCTCAGTCTTGTTAACAAGTTAAACTTTTCATTTAGAAGCCATTGTGATGGCTAGCTTTGTCAGTAAATGCAAGTTTAGATAAGCATTGAGAAATATGTTAAAGTAGACAACTAGACTCTGACGTACTATTTTTAAACTGACTTTACCAATCAACCTAACTAGAAGCTTGATTGTTATTAATTAGCAGAATCATTTCTATTTCTGTCAGAGATGATCACACCCGAAGAGAATCATGTAATTTTAGATAAAAAAAAAAAAAAAATGTCTCAAATGAATAAAACCACAACTCTGAGGCACATCAGTTATATGTTCAGAAATGGAAAAATGAAGGATATCAAGAAAAGAACACTGACCCAAAACATAAAGCTAAAAACACCCAAGAAAGGTTATGAGGAAAACATTGGACTATTCTGGGGTGACCTTCTATGAGTTCTGACTTAAATCCTAATTAAGCATCTTTAGAAGGAGCTGAAACACCTTTTGAACCTCAGACAACTGGAGGAGTTTGCTCAAGACAAGAGGGCCAGTATACTTGCTGAGAGGTCCAATATCATTATCATGTCTGTTGAAGAATTGATGAACAGTAATGTTTGAATTTAATTTGATAATGTTAATTGAAGAAGTGGAATGTAAAATTTAAATGTTAATGTTAAATATATTCCACTGAAAATATTCTCTATAAAAGGTGCTCCGATGTAGAATAATAAAAAGCAAAGTAATAGCATTAAATGACCCTCTGAAGAATTAAGCTTTGGCTGTTTGCTGTGTGAGAAGCTTTCAAAGTGCCAGGTTGTCACATGTTTAATCTACATTTCAATCACAGCCTGCTGTTTGCTGTGATGATGTTCGTTTATCTTGGTGTTACGTTTAATAAACCTACCTACATGGTTTTACCTCTGCATTTATCATCAGTGAAAGTACAAATGGATAAGAGTACATTTTGTCTTCTTCCTTTCCAAAGCTACTACAGTGACCTGGCCACTATCTACTCAGAGGCAGATGTGGAAGACCTGTACTTTCAACAATACTATGCCTGGATTGGCATGCAGAGAGATCAGGCTAAATGGAGTGACATTCTCGTGTCGGATCACAACTTTGAGTTACTTCATCTTTGGGAAGACCGCAACCCACCTTACATTCCTGAATGTGTTGCAGTCAGCCACCATAACTTCTTTTACCAAAGGTAGTGCTAGGCTGAAGTATTTGTTTATGGATAGGCATTTCATTATTTTTTTTTATGCAGACTAGATTTTTAAGTAAATTGCAATTACTAGTGCATAGTTCATAATATATATATTTTTTATTTAATGTGAAACATTTGTGAAAATTAATAAGCTGTGGAAATACTTTTTGACAATACCAACACCAAATAATTATGAATAAATACAAAGGAGGACTAAAAACACAAGCAACCATGGATCATGATACGTTTATAGAAACTTCTGAGTGACCTCAGTTTTCAGCATAACTTGTTCGCATTTATAAGCAGCACTAATGATTTCTTGTTATCTTTCTTTCCTACATTGTTCTGGGTGGCTGGTACTTTGTACTACTGGCAGCAAACCAATAATTAACAGGTATGACACAACTATATTACCAGTGGGTTTCTCAAGACTGAAAAGAAAGTTATTCATAAATTACTTTTAAGCATCATTATTATAAATCAAAAGGGTGAAAAGTTGTATATTTTATTCATCAAATTCTTATAAAAGCCACATTCTAGGTAAAACCTCAGCTATGTGTGGTTAAAAATGTGCTATTTAATAAATTGAATGTTTGTTTTTTTTATGTTCCCTGCTTTATGTTTTTCTTCAAAGAGTATATGGCCTGAATTGTGGAAGTCACCACTTCTTCATCTGTCAGGACAATCAAAATGGACAAACTGATTATATCTTCATACCTGAAGCAAAGAACTGGTCTGAGGCTCAGCATTACTGTAGCCAAAACCATGAAGAGCTGGCAAATATCCCCACCGTGAGTCTGTCCACCACTGTCCAGAAGCAGGACTTTCCCATCTGGATTGGACTCCATAAAGATGGTAAATGCTCTATTTGTCTTTCTGTCCGTCCATCTGCCCATCACACTTTATGGTCACAGAAATTGGAACAGAAAACAAACACAAAAAAACATCATTTCAATGTTCTCTTTAATGCAAAGGTGTGTGAGTTTTCTGTATCTGTTCTGCAGGTGGATCATGGAACTGGAATGCAGGCTCCTCAGAATACCATAGATGGGCATTAAATGAGCCAAGTGCCATAGGAGACTGTGTATCCATCTCCTCTGAGACAAATAATATGTCTGCCCAAAACTGCAATGCCTCTTTTCCATTCCTCTGTATCTCTGACAATGTGATCCTGGTGAAGGAAGAAAAGAGCTGGGAGGAGGCACTGAAACACTGCAGAGGACTCAAGTCATCCAACCACACAAACCTTCGATTCGATCTGCTCAGCCTGCAGCCTGGGGAGGAGTCTCTGTACATGATGGCAAAGGTCATGGATGCAGATACTGAGGAGGTGGGTTAACATATCAGGGCAGTTATTTAAAATCTAGAAGCTACAACTCCTAAATTCTTAAACTAATCTTACTTTTTAGATGTCAGGTTGCCACACTTGAGGCATACCTTTACAGAAATAGACGGCCTTCATATTCACTTCTAATTCAATCCAAAATCGAAAATTATTTTTTCCCTCTTGCGCTTGTAGGTTTGAGTATGTTATGTGTCACTATCTCTACGGGGTCTCCTTATTTACTTCCATTCAATCTTCATTCATTTGTATGGCCTTACCCAAACTCTTACCCTAAGCCTTACCATTACCATTCTATTGCTTACCCTAACTCTAACCTAAATTAGATTAAAAACTTAGTCCTTAACTTAATCCCCCCGAACCAAAAAATAACCTTTCTTCATGAGAACCAGTCAGTTGGTCCGTGTGAGGAAATTGACCTGGGAAATTGGTAGGCTATAAATTTCTACAACGCAAGCTAACAAATACATGGCCACATACACACATTCACAAACAATTGAGTATATATGTAGATATGTACCTGCAGGACAGTAGATCTTGAGGACCAGGGTTATAGACCACTGGCGTAGTGGTTAGAGCAGTGGGCTTGTGCTCTGAGAAGGTAGCAAGTACCCGGTTCGATCCCGGGTACTTGCTACCTCCATTCTGGGTTTATGAGCAAAAACCCTTAATCCCTAAACTCTTTGGGGAGTTGTGGCCTAGTAGTCAGGACATTGTGCTTGGAATCCAGGGGTTCTGAGTTCAAGCCCGACTCCCACAGACTGCCTCTCTGGCTCCCTGAGCAAACACCCTTAACTACAAACTGCTTCCAAGCCCCATCCCCAAGGGGATGGGTTAAATGAAGAGAGTTCATTTCGTTGCTCTGTACTATTGAAAATGTAATGACAATAAAAAGCTGGGGGGAAAAAAGTAGTATTTCAAACCAACGAAATCTCTTAACAGAGTGTTACCCTGCTTAGAGCTACAATTTATTTTGACAGAGAGCATTTACCTGATCCTTGCTGACCTCCCATATTCTAGCACCAAACCCATTTTAAGTTGGCAAGACAGACCAAGTAGCCCAAAGCTGTCTATCAGCTGCCAACCAGGCCTACTGAAATAGGCATTACCGATTTGTGTAATGATTCTACCACCTGCGGCCAAAACAGTAGCACTCTTACATAATGTGTGTTTAACGGTGGCTCCTCTCCAGACTTATTTCATTCAGATAATATTTTAACGGTTAAAATGGCCGAAGGGTGTTGTTTATCCCTTAGTTGTTGCTGCAGTACAAGCAATCTTTAAAGACCTCCGATTACATTTATGAACCATTAACCAAGTCTGTTTTATGATCTTTATAGATCTTAGGAAGATAACTCATACGTAAATCCAGTGTCCACACACATGCTTCTTTAATTAGTATACTTTTAGAAGGGAATTAGCAACAGGAAAATTAAGCAATTTTAAAGACCAAAGATCACAGCTAACTCTTTTTTAAGGCTGATCACTATTGTCTGTAGGAGACGCTTTGGATCTTTTGGGGAGCAGAAAGACTCATACCACAAATGGAATCAATCTTCGCAGATTGATTGATTGACTGATTGTCTTTATTGATCTCACAGTAGAGAAATTTACTCATTACATCAGCTTAAATAGTCAAAGGAGAAGATGACTCTGAATTTCCTGGGTTAGGGGTTAATTCATTTGATAGAGTTCCTCTTTTGAATAGCAGTGCACCAATGTCTAGGGCAGTGTCACACTTATGACTTGATGTGATGTTTCAGCATCAGCTCACTCTTTAAGCAGGTTGGATCGCCTCTCTGGTACTCCCGCTGGTTCACAGAGACACAGTAGTTCATGGTATTTCTTTCTCCTTCATGATCGCAGCAAGCTCTATGAAGGAGTCAGGGCGTTCTTCTGCAGGTTTCCTAAAAAGAAAAAGTCCTGTTGCTTGCCCTATGGCCAAAGTTTCTAGTAACTATTTTATTTTGATTAACATTAAAGTTACATTTATAGGTTACATTTGATATTCTTTCTTATACATTCATCATAACAGAGTATACATGTCAGGGTTAGTTGTGGTAGAGGACCCAAATGCAGAGGCAGAGAGGCTGAGGAGATTTCTTGGGAGTTTAATGGGTCAAAAACGGTAACAAAGGCAGGAATGCAAAAATCCAACTAATAATCAAAAGCAAACCAGAACTATGGAGACATCTGGGGAAAACCAAACACGAGGAGCCAGGGAGAGACAAGGAACATGGACAACAGCATGGGAGGACAGCAAAGACAAATAACCAGCAGTATCTATACTTCTTAAGTAACAAATGTGTGTACTTTTGACACCGCTGGTATTTTGGACAACTATTTTAACATTGTTTCTTTACGGATTTCCAACATTCCTCATTAAATTTCGCAAGATCTTCCAGGCTATTAGTGGAAACAACCATCATCTGTGAGCTCTCAAGCATGTCTGATGTAATCGGAGCAAAATCTCAGGAGGGCAGTTAAAGGGGCAGGGCAATCAACCTTATTGGCTATGTGAAATCAGCCTATGCCAGCAATTGGTTGTTTATTCTGTCACTGAAAGTGAAGACTTGCAGCACTTTTAATCTATATTTATGAACATATTTATCAACTTATTTTTAACTTTATTACTTTGTAACTGTTATTGTAGAATAAGACATGAAATCTATACTTTTTAATCTTGTTGTAGAAGAAGAGATTAAATCAACATCTATACATTTTTTTACTTGTGATTTTAAGACTTGGTTACACATAAGTGGAGGGGTTTGCACAGATCCTCTCTGGTACTCGGCTTCAAATGCAGAGGTGTCAATGCTCATACCCATTAGGTGATTCACTTAATTTTCAGAGACTGAACCAAGTTGAACCTCTTCTGTTTGTTCATATCAGCAGACATTCTGAGAGAAACAAATTCCAAAACTAATTTTTTTCAAATAAACTATAATTCATCTGTTATTATTCCTTTTCTTAGACATTCTTCATTTTGTGTGCATAATTGTCAGAGCTGGAAAGGCGAGTAGAATCACTTTGCTTCCAAAGTGTTAACCAAAATCAATCGACAGGCAATGCCAAAGAGCATACAGATAGTCATCAATATATCTCCCTGGCAGTTCTCATAGTCTTGAAATAATGCCAGATGAATATTTTGTTTCTCCAGGTTTGGACTGGCCTTTGTTTCCTAGCTGGTGAATGGCTGTGGGTAAATGGGGCAGATATGCTGCACACTGACCTGCCCTTCTGCCCTACTCAACAGCAGAATTGTGGAGCCCTATCCAAGAAGGATGCTGGCAAAATGAAGACAAGGGACTGTTTACAGAAGAAAAACTTTCTCTGTTACAGTTATGCATCCACCCATTAGTCTCATTGAGGAGGTCAACATTAGTGGCATTAAGGATCAACTCTGCAGTAAAAAATAAATAATCTATACTTATTCATGAAAAGAAGCAACCAAAGATTTGCTTCAGAAATTTAGCAAGAGATAGCCCTAAGCTAACACATCTAGGTATGGATTGCTCTATTAATACTATGGTTAACTAGTGGTGAAGAATTTTTAAATTAAATATTCTGAATTATTTGGGTCTTTGTAGCACTACTTGTATAGCTAATAAATGTGCATGTGCATTAATGTTAATAGCACTTATTATTTTACAGAAAAAAAATAGTTCAAGATGTATGAAGCTCTGTAAGCAAATCGATGAAAAAATAAAACTTATATACACATGTTTTGGTCTTGATATTTTATGGGAACTTACAAAAAAGGTAAGGTTAAAGCATGAGTTGGCACCAATTATTTCTAAAAAAAATGGGGGCAGCAGGGGTGATTTTTTTTATTTTCAATTTTAGGGATTGCACCAGGGATGGACTATGGACAAAATTTATACAAAGCTGATGTAATGTATTGTAGTCTGGTGCATTTTAGATGCACCATAATTGCTGTGGTGGGCTTCTGGGTTGCAAGGACCCAATTTGTACAGTTTTTTTAAGCAAGCCATTCTAAACCTTGGGGTCCAGGCAATAATTGAGTGTACAAGATGATTTCTGGGGGTCACCAAATCATTTTGGAAAAATATAATTCACAAAATTAAAGGTATTGTGGAGAATTATTAACTAAACTTAAAAAAAAAAAAAATAATAAATAAAAAAAAGGAAAAGCCCAACCCTGTACACGCTCCTGAGAGGGAACACCTATCAAATGCATGCAAGAGCATGTAGAAGACCATTTCTCCTCGTGCACGCTCTGTTTAAAAGTTGCTGTTTCATAAATCATACAAGCTTACTTTGTCCGAATATCCGCCCTAACCCCTAAATCCTTCAAAGACTGTAGAAAGTGGGGACTATATAGAGGACTTTATAGCAAACTCGGTTAACTTACTGTTTGGGCAGATGATCACTGCTTCACCAAGCGCAGGTAAAGTGGTAGTGGTTGATGTAGCTTATGATCGGACATTAACAGGAAGGTGAGCAGTTGTCTCAGGCGGATGTTTTAGGCATTTTATCACTCAAAATCAGCTAATGTTGGCCATAACTAGGCTTCACCAAAAAAAAATAACCTGTCAACTAAGGTTGCAATATTTAAGAGAACTAGAGTGGTGGGCTGTATGAGTAGGTCCGGGAAGTGCTGGAATGTTACTGGTGCTTGAGGGCTTTATGGAGCGTCATGACATAACCATTCAAACTATGAAATAAATTATTGCATCCAAGTTTAGGAGCTGCTTGAAAGTTTCAATAAGTACTTCCAGAATGATGACTTACCAGAAAAGAACGATTGGAGAGCCCTTTCACCACCTTCACTGAGCACCAACTCTGATCAGAGCTTCAGGATGCCTTGCTCAATTTGGCTTATGATGCAGAATATGCAGCACTATCAAAAACTGCAACTGATCTACGGTTCCATTCGCATCTGCATATCTGTCTCAGAAGACCTTTTCTGTGCTGACATAAAAGAAAAAAAGCCAGATCATGACTCCTAAGAGTTGACTGTCATCTCTGCATGGCTGTGACTAACATAAAGCAATGAAAGCAACTGCTACAGTATGTTCAACCAAGCAGGCATAGCAACATTAAATAGTTGCAGAAAAACATTTCTGATTATGATTATTTTAAATAACTAGAACTGGAAGTTGTGGTTAATTAATTGGTCATTTAAATCCAGGGTGAAACTAATTATCAGTTGAAAGATTACAACTGTAACTTGCTTACTGACCTGGGTTCTTAGTCTCTCACAAAAGAATTGACTCCTGAATTGGCTGTTAAAAATTAAGTTGCTCTTCACCAATTTAGTAATTTAGACTATGGCTATCATCAAAGTTATTAATCACCAACCAAATAAATGTGTCTGATCATTCGGATGCTACTGAAAAAAAGGGTCAGTCCAGCCTGAGTGATGAATTGTTCACTGTACAAAATATTACAAAAGAGCATGGGTTATAATTCAATGGTAGCTTTATTAGCTAAACATTTTAGTTGCTGATGTCATTGCTACTGTATATGACCAATTGTTGTCATTTACAGGGGTATTGAAAGCTTATTCGAGAAAAGGGCAGTGTCAGTGTTAGCCACTGCTACTGATGGTTAATCTATGGTGATCAGCAGCAATGAAAAATACCTGCCCAATCAACTTTCTAGGAGCAGTACTAGTGATAAAGAGCAGTCAGCTTCCTCTACCTAGCATGGTAGTTAATGTTCACAGTTTGTGTGTCCATGGAGAAACAAATTGATTTTACATAGAAGATTCTGACTTTTCAGACACCTTTTCTGAATTACAGTATGCTTTGATACTAATACAATTTAAATAAAAGATTAGAGAAGAAAGATAATATCACATTTTCAAGAACAAAATCTCTTTCAAAATAAATCTTTGTAGGAGGTGCATCAATAAATAAATTATGCTAATTGCAAGTTAACAATTTATAACAATGTTATATCTTTTTTTCTGTTTTTTGTTTCACTCTATAAAGCCTCAAACACAATGCTAATTCTGACATTTTGAATTGAAAAAGCTTACTAGATGGAAATTAAAACGTCTTCAGACTTGGAAACAAAATCCAGTGGATTGTTTTTTTGTTTTGTTTTTTACTTTTTTCAAATGACTATGGCCTGGATGACTGAGAATCTTCACCAGCATACCGGGACACAAATTACGCAAAATAATTTTCGTATAAAAAAATCTTTGATGTGAATAAGTATGGTCGAGTTTTTCACCTGAGAGTGCTCAATAGTGAAAGTGAAGGTATTAGTTTTAGGGCTTGAGTTTAGCAAAAAAAAAAAAAAAAACGTTTCCCTAGAGCCCCTGACACCCCAGGCAGACTTATTCCACCTAGAACACAGAAGGACCGATATAAGTAAGGCACATTATCATTCCTAGCTAGGAGCTGACCCCTGAGAAATAGGAACGCTTATTTTGGCCTCCATAGTCTTTGGCTAGTCTGGCCTTTGGGGGCTGTAGACCGCCAGAGAGAAACCTACTGTATACCTCATGGTCCACAGATACAGCAACCCAACATTGATGGACCCCCTTGTCACCAAGGACAGACAGGATATAGTCCATCCAGAAGACCTCTGTCCCCTCTAGTCTCCTCCCATTGGGACGTCAAAAACTTCCAAAACTAGGTTTTAGGAAGTTAAACATTCTCCCTTACAGTGTTTTTTTTTCATACAGATTATTTGCTTTACTTTTTATCACAATTATATCAATTTATAAAAAAAAAATTACTCTAATATCAGAGAAAAGGAAAACTGAGAAAATATGAATGGGTCATTTCAGACTATGATTTTAATCAAATCCTAGTCATATATGTTTTCTAATTGTAAATCAGAAAGGGTATTACACAAGTTACACATTCTTTGCAGAATTTAGTTTAATTAGTTTAATGATGTTTACAGATACATAGTGCAGATCTATGTGTAACCTTATAAACCCAAAAATAATGGCTGCATTACAGCAAAACAGTTACAGTAAAGTTTTACAAACAGTTTTTAGTAAAATCCAAATAGTATTCTTATATGGCTAAAAGCTGAACTTTTACAACTGCAGCTAGTAATTACAAAATCAAGTAAAGTTTTAAACAGCATGGTTACCATAACAGTTAGGACGTATGAATGTTATGCTTAATTTAATCCACAGATGTTGTAGTTCCCTTTTAAGCTTACATGGGTTTTCTACATCTTTACTAATGTTCAATTGAAGAAACAAAATACATTTTCAATGAAAATAATCCATTAAACTCTATTGAGGGGAGTATTGGCCTAGTGGTTAGAGCAGTGCGCTTGTGCTCTGAGAAGGTTGCAAGTACACGGTTCGATCCTCACAGCCTCCACTCTGGGTCTCTGAGCAAGACACTGCACAATGGTAGCCCAATGCTCCCCGAGGGGATGGGGTTAAATGTAGAGCTACATTTCTACAGTGTTAGATCAATCAAGTTAAACTATTATTATTATCATTAAACAATTGTTACTTAATTCTAGAGAGTGCACTGGAAAAATGATCTAAAATAAGTAAAAAAGTCTTAAATTAAGTGCATTTACCCTTAATTTGAGCTGGAAAATGAGATAGTTTGACAATGGAATGGGTATTTTTACTCTTAAATTAAGATAAATAGATAATATGTACTTGAAATAAGACAATACAAGTGTGTTTTCTTATTTTAAGTGTAAATTGTCTTGTTTCATTGGCAAAATGTCTGTTTTACCTCCTTAATCCAAGAACAAATGAACTTATTTTAAGAAAAAATTTATTCATCTAGATTTTGATTTTTTTCCAGTGTGCAGATATTCTATTCATAGAAGAAAATATTAATAGAATCAAACATTTGACTGCCTGGAGATCCTATCTATAGGCAGCCATTTTGCTGTGATGACAACAATGACACTAAGCTTCGAAACTGTAACAGAGGAAGTTTTTCTGCTCTGAACAATCTCTGGCCTCTACACTGCCAGTTCTGTTTTTTGATAATGCACCACAGCGCTGCTCCTGGGTTGGACATTGAGGCATCTCAATGTTTGATGTGTTTCCCCCATTCACCCACAGCCATTCATCACCCAGGAAACGTAGACCAGTCCACACCTGCGAGAACAAATAATATCATTAGGAGTTTTATCTTAAGATCAACTACAAAAAACAAAGAAAAATAAGTCCAGACATTTGGTTTGTTTATCCTTTCAAAACATACACATCAGCAAGTTTCAGTAACACTTATGAAACAAATTTTGTTGACATCCATCAGTGCTTCGGAGAGCAGTGAACACTCCTAAGATCCCAACTAATAGGTGTGAGATCCCAAAAGAAGCCTCTCCCCTCCAACTGGACCCCAACAAGCCCTCCACAGCACCAAGCTGAATCTGTCCATTCAACATAACCTCAAACTGTACGACATAACCGCAGGGTTTAAAAGTTCAGTAGACTTAGACTTAGCCTTTGACAAACTTTATTGTAATTTTATATACACAGAGTGTATACAAAATGAAATTTTCATGCATACTGCTTACAACATTGAATAAGCAGCTTACAACAGTTAAATAAAATGAACATTACCATTTATAAAGTTCAGCAGTGATCAATGTTAACAGTGTAGGAGAAAAGGAAACCGGTTTAAAAGTCATTTTGCAAAAGGCATTGATATGAAAGATTCAGTGCAGTGCAAAATAAATAAATATGGTGCAAAATGCAGTAGAAGGTTGAGTTGTGTTGTTTTTAAAGTGATTATACAGCCAGATGCTCTGATGCGATCAAACACACAGTGAACATCCAAAAACCACATGTCAGACTAAGCAGCGTGGAATTGCAATGGTTAGACTTGTTTGCACATGCGCAGGGTGCAAGGTTCAGGTATAAATCAGCTCATAGACACTCGTAGCTCTTCTTCAAATGCTGGATTTGTTCATAAACACCTCAAGAGGGCTGACTGAATTTCAAACATGCTGAACTGATTTTCACCCGACCTTACGATTCCTGATCGGGAGGTGGTCGTGAGAGTCTAATCTGCCCTCGTTACCCACTGTATACTACACGACACAGGATGCACGATGTGGCCAAAAGTAGATGGCTAGATGAAAATAATTAGATGTCAATTTGATTGGAGATCGCATCTCCAAATAAAAATTTTCTCCATCAGAGCAGACTGTATAAAAAAGGATGATGACTCATTACTCTGTTTAATGATTCACTAAAGTGTAGAAAAGTGATCCTCTGTGACTTTGAATCTTCTGTATTCTGGCTGTCCAAGTACAGGGCCCTGTTCAAGCCATTTCTTTGAATGTTTATAAGCCTCCAGAGTCCAAAACAAACTTTAAAAAAACGGCAAAACTGTTCTGTTTTTTGCGAAGCTCCTCTTCCTGTTGTTTTAATGTTTTGCAGGTTTATTGAGTTCACATGTTTATTGAGAAAGTTTTATCTGTTTTAGAGTCTGATTTGTTTCAAATAATATGCCTATCCCTTATGACAGGTGTTTTCCCCGTGCCTTAAAAGCAGCAATTATTAAATCATTGTTGAAAAAGAGAAGCTTTAACAAATTTTTCCTTCAAAAGGCCCATCTCAAACCTCCCTTTCATGAATATAGGCCAGTTTATACTCAGAAACCAGGTCATCTGCATGTGTGTCGCAGTGAATGCAGATATGCCCCCATCCCTGCCTCAGACACTCTGGTGCACCTCTCCAAAATTATAGGCTACCGCAGAGCGTGCCGCAGATGTAATGAGTTAAAAAAAAAAAAGAGCTTAAACACCATATCATAATCTTTATTAGAACAAACACCCACTCCGTTTTTTTTTTTTGTATTCTAAAACTAATGTGTATTCTGTAAGGTTTAGGTGCTGTTCTCATTTACACCAGCAAAGGGTGCAGTAGTTGCAATGTGGACATAAAGGGTTCTCTCCCAGCCGAAGCTCAGAAGTAAATGAGCTATCCCAATTAAAAAGACAAGAAACAGATGACACGTGAAACAAAGAGACTAGTACATGAATGGAACAGACTGAAACTTGACAAAAGACTGCTTTACAGATGTACAGGACAGAGAAAACAGTTAGTGCTCCCTGCTAAACTAAAAAAAAAAACAGTTCTTAAACATTTGCACGATGACATGGGACAAAGGCGCTGACAAAGTAATTCACTTAGTGTGAGAACTTTTTTTCGGCCTTTCATGCGGTGCAAAATTGAAGATTATGTATTTCGTCAGTGCACATGCATTAAACGAAAACAAGCATGTGTTCCAGATGAAGCACGACTGGGTTCGATCACTACAACTGTTACAAATGTTCACACTCCACATGAAGAAAAGAAAGCAGAGTGGACACACATTCTTCATGTGTACAATTGTACCAGACATGAAGCAACCGGTTACTCACCATTTTTTCTGCTTTATGGTAGAGCACCTAGATTGCCTGTAGATGTAGTAGTGGTGAGTGCAAAACAAGACAAGAGTATGCAGAGAAATTGGCATCTCGTATGCAAGAGGCATAC